CCTGTATAGCCTACTATCAAAATCACAATAACAGAAATCAATTTTATTTCTTATGATGTGACAAAAACAGCAGAGGTTCGGGGTTGTCAGATTGATAAGTTTCTTTCTTAAAAATATAACAATAAAATACAATATGTTGTATAATAAAYACAGTTTTGAGGGGCGTCCAAGTCTTAACAGGAGGGGGTCAAACCCTCCCTTTTCCCCCACAGTAATTTGAACCACTGTTAGCTCTTCGGTGGATCTTTTAAACATTAATAATTCATTATTAGGAGACAYCAGCCTCCCCTGCAGAGAAACTTTTAACAACCTGAAACAGGAAAACCCTGGTGCAGTCCAGTCCAGTGCACGGACAGTAAAGCTCAGGACGTGTTGGATCGTCTTTACCTGAAGGAAAACCTCTGGAAAGCGGATTTAAACCGAGTTTTGTTTTGTGACTCCCTCCTCTCACCATGCTTCCTGCCCAGGAGGCAGCCAGGATCTACCACACCAACTACGTGCGCAACGCCCGGGCCGTGGGCGTCATGTGGACCGTGTTCACCATCACCTTCTCCGTCATCACCGTGGTGGTCTTCATCCAGCCCTACTGGATCGGGGACAGCGTCCACACGCCGCAGGCAGGATACTTTGGCCTCTTCCACTACTGCATCGGGAACGCGCTCACCTCGGAGCTCACCTGCAAAGGGAGCGCGCTGGACTTCGGCTCCATCCCCTCKGGGGCCTTCAAGACGGCCATGTTCTTCGTGGGCATCTCCATGCTGCTGATCGTGGGCAGCATCGTCTGCTTCAGCCTCTTCTTCTTCTGCAACGCCGGCAGCGTCTACAAGATCTGCGCCTGGATGCAGCTGGCCTCCAGTCAGTGAGCCTCAGCTGCACGTGGAGGGCTCAAAATCCAAGTAGAACAGCTAAAAGCTCAAATAAATACAGTAGATCAAAGCCTGAACTAGCACATTCACAATTAAAAGCTGGAATTAACGAAACACTACTTAAAACCCTAAAGTAGTAAAAGAGAAATAAAGGCTAAAACCTGCAGACTCATAAAAGTTAAAATATGTAAAATACAAATTTAGCAAAATAGGAGCTAAAAGCCTAAACTAGCAACACAGTAGCTATATCGTAATATCAGCAGAATCATAGCTAAAGTTCAAATCAGTAAAATACAAGCTAAAATRGGGCTATTCAACTGGCGGCCCGCGGCCCGCCACCTGGTTCATTCTTCTCTTAAGCCCAAACCCCCGGTTTTCTACTTTAATTACTCTAAGTTCTTTTAGTTAAACATAGACATGTTTGGTGTCTACAGAAACGTCAGAATCTTGGCTACAAGTTGGTAAAAACAACATCCAAGACAGTTAAAACTACAAGCAGTTGAAGATAAAACTATGGAAGTGAAAATAAAATTGGTTT